CCTCAGTCTCCCAAAGGCGCGGGATTACAGGCTGAGCCACCGAGCCTGGCGGTATTCACTTTTTATTACACGTGGGACAGGTGTGCAGCCCTCAGGTCTGGCCAGGCTGATACCAAGAGCAGATTTCAGATTTCTCATCTTGGGGTTTGTCAGGACTCCTGGCTCAGATGGTCCCAGAGGGGCTGCGGGAATCAAGGGGGCAGGTCTGCAGATTCTCGGGCCCTTCCTGAGGGCATCTCATGCCTGGGCCTGGCAGGAGCCTGTTTCCCACAGATCCTGTGGCGAGCACCCAGCTGGGAGGGATGGGACAGCAGTGACGACACAGGGCTCTCGCCCTGCGACATGAGCACCCTGGGGACTTGGGGTTCAACTAAACGTTTCTGGAGGTGGGAGGAGCAAGCCACGTGTCCCTGCAGCAGCGTGGTCCTGGGACCAGGCCACGGAGGCCTTTGCCCCTGTGGCAGTGAGTGGTGCCTCGTCCTCTGTGTGGTCTCTGCCTGACGGGCAGCACAATGCCATGACCATGGCCTTTACACGAGGCACTGACTTGGGCCTCTGCCTCCTGCCCTCCCAGATGGGAATAGCACCATAGTGCCCCGCTCACTGGCTTGTTGGATGCAGTAGTGTCTGGTGTAGAGTTGGCACTTGACAAGTGTCAGCTCTTTTCTTCTTGAAGTTCTATCTGGAAGACGGGAGCCCTGGGCTGCAGAAGCCGCAAAGCCTGCCTGTGAGATAGACACCCCCGCCGCTCAGGAGCCTGGAGCCCCTCTTGTTTGTCCAGGCCACCTGTGTCATTTCCCTGTCACTACTGTGACACAGGACCATGGGCCTGTAGGTCAGAAGTCAGCCAGGTGCAGTGGCTCACACCTGTCATCCCAGAGCTTTGGGAGACCGAGGTGGGAGGTTTGCTTGAGCCCAGGAGTTCAAGACCAGTCTGGACAACATGGCAAGACCTCGTCTCTATAAAAAAAAATGAAAAAATCAGCTGGGTGTGAGAGCACATGCCTCTAGTCCCAGCTACTAGGAGGATGAGACTGGAGGGTCACCTCCCAGGAGGAGGGGGCTGTCGTGAGCTGTGATCGTGCCATTGCACTCCAGCCTGGGCAATAGTTAGAGACCCCAACTCAGAAAAAAAAAGTCTGACATGGGACTCATGGGCTAAAAATCCAGGTGTCAGGGCTGTGTTTCTTCCAAGGGCTCCAGGGAAGAATCGGCTTCCGTTCTACCATTCCTTGGCTCCTGGCCCCTTCCTCATCCTCAGGACGATGAAGGCAAGTGGGATCCCCACATCACACTATGGCCTCCTTCTGGCTCACTTCTTTTCCCGACTCTTTTCTGACCCCTCTTGCACTTGGTTTTGTTTTGTTTTTTTGAGTCAGTCTTACTCTGTTGCCCAGGCTGGAGGGCAGTGGCATGCTCCTGGCCACCGCAGCCACGACCTGCTGGGTTCAGGCAACCCTTCCGCCTCAGCCTTCCAAGTAGCTGGGACTATAGGCGCACACCACCACGCCCGCTAATTTTCATTGAATTACTGTAGAGACAAGGTCTCTCCATGTTGCCCAGGCTGGTCTCGAACCTCTGGGCTCAGGCAATCCTCTTGCCTCTGCTTTCCAAAGTGCTAGGATTACAGGCGTGAGCCACGGCGCCCAGCTCTCCCCTCTTGCACTTTGAAAGACTCTGATCACACTGGATAGCCCAGGATTATGTCCCTTTGGAAGTCAGAGGCCTGCACCTCCAATTCCTCTCGGCCACAAAAACAGACATTTTGGGGGACTATCTTGCCCACCACACCGCATCTTCTGCCTCTGCCCTCCCTGCTTGGGGCTCTGGGCCAGTGATGCCCAGACGCTCTCCCCACCGCTCTGTTTCTGACCAGGACTTGCATTCTCTGGCTGGGCTGGGACCTGTCCCCATAAAGACTCAGACCCCAGGTGACCAGGGGACTCTCTTGCAGGGAGTTGGAGGGCTTCTGCTCCAGGCTGGCCCTTTCTGCAGCTCCCTCTGCCTGGTGGCCTGCCCCAAGATCACTGTCTAGTCTCTGCCTCCAGGTATCCAGCTGTGTTGGTGTAAGTTCAGCATATGTCTGGCCAGCACACGTGAGCCCACCATTGTGATCGTCAGCAGGTGCCCACAGGGGAGCCTTGGCGTTGGCTCTACACTCGCCCCCAGTACTTCCACGCCCTGTTCAGCCTTCCCTGCTTAGCCCGTGTGCTCCAGGGTACAACTGGCCACTTGGAGGCCAGCCCACGTGGCCTGCAAGGGGACCCCGCAGAAGGAGCAGGGTGAGTGCTGGGTGCTCAGGGTAGATCTCAGGGTTGAGGGCCTGGAACCCATGATCCCAATCCCAGGTACTTGGAGAAGGCCAGAAAGGGGGTTCAGGAGGGAGCCCGGCTGGGAGCCAGGTCCCATGGGGAGCCGTGCTCCACATGGCTGGTCCCCTCGGAGGCAGCCTCCTGGTGTGTGACACCTCCTGCTTCCCTCTTCCACATCACGGGGTGTCTTCCCACGGGCCCCCGCAGTCAAGGCCCTGGCTTACTCGTCCCCGTGAGGCAGCGCCAGTCCAGACCAGGCTCCGAGCCGGGGTCTCACGGGTCCGAGCAGCACAACCAGATGGTGAGGACAGCATCACTGACTCCAACCTCTCCCTGGTGCTATCCACACAGACACCTGTCTGCGGGAGGCTGCTTTACCTGCAGTGAGTGCAGGACAAGCTGCAGGGCCCTCCCCTCTGCATGGCCCCTAGCGGTGTGGTAACTGGTCTAGCAAGATAGTAAATGGCTTTGTAACATTTGCAGAAGAGCCGGGCATGGTGGCTCAT